CAACAAACGAATCCAGTTGGATTAGAAATGTATTCAACTTTTTGACGAACACTATTCCCACAGTTATGTGAATCGTAAGCAGTCTTTGCTTGCGGGTGTTTTGACCTTGAGGTATACATACAAGTGCACGGAAATGTAGTACTAATACGTACACAGGCAGTAATATTATTATTACAGTTATATTACGTTTTTTTTTTCCATTGCGTGTTTTTTCTAAACATGCACCACACCGTCAATCCAAAACGATTTTCATTATAATTTAATTATAATATAATAATTATACCATAATTTACAGCATTCCACTTTGTTTTTCCCTTCTTGTTGTAACTATAATAAATAATAATATATTTTTACTAAATATTATGTCGGTTAATGTTTGTGATCAGCATCGCACGTCAGACGGGTACGCGTGCCGTCGCAGGCGTCGGACGTGGATCAATTCCTCGACGATCTGTTCAATCCAGTTCTGGATCAGCTGTCTGATGCCAGATCCCTAGCAGCGTCAATTAAAGGTTCRTCTAAGAGCAAGTCCGTGGAAGACTGCGAGTCTCTGGACTCTCGGGACTTTGCCAAGAGGATAAAGGGTGGTGGAGGACGGTCGATTGAAACCAGCCGAGCTTCGAGATTCGACGAGAGTCCGTCGCTAGATGGAGAATTTGATCCGTCGTCGTTAGACATCTCGATGTTTGCCAGAACTGTGAAGGGCGGTGGTAGAGGCGTCGCTTCCCAGCAACAGGTATGGATTTATGATATATCGTAATATGACGACCGTGTTAACGATAAACAAGAATAACGAGGTGGGCGTTTTTCACCCTATTCGCATACGGTTGACACGAAAAGACAGTGTTTCCTTAGCTGTAATATAATGGGGAGGGGGCGGGGGGACAKCTGTCACATTTTATAGCGACAGAAAATAATTTTTTTTCATTAGCTTTGATTTATTGAATATTACAACATATTTTGTTTTAATCATTATGCTTGAGTTTGAATTTTCYCGAGTTAGTTTTATACAATTATTAATTGAGTAGGTACTAATTTATAATAATTTGTCACTAAAATAATTTATAGTATATTGATTTATTATTGGTAATTTATTTGAGGAGTAGAAGAGTGTCACCTGTTCTCCCACTATA